ATTTTGGCCTCCTCCGACTTTCCTGGTGAGTCTCTTGGAGCTCCCTTGGGCCCGCATTGGGGGCTTCTCGGGCCGTCTCGAGGCAGTGTTTCAGCCTCTTGAGCCGTCTTGCGCCATCTGGAGCCGTCTTGGTTGTCTGAGAAGCCGTCCTGGAGGCCATCCTGGCCGTGGGGAGGCCGAAAAGACCGCAGGACAGCAATTTCTGAAGGGGCGATTTCTCGAGCACGCGCGTGCCGTGGGCGGGTGGGGGCTAGAACACATTGAAAAACGTTCCCAGGCAATAGACGAGCATTCTAACGCGCCCACTCCGTGCAGGCACGGTCGCGGACTTCACCGCGCGGTGCATCCGCGTTGATCCAGCCTGCGCCCAGAGCCCGCGCCCAGAGCACGAATCCGTCCGTATCAGAGCATACCGTGCGGGCTGTGCGCACACCACCACGCGCGCGCGTCGGAATCCTCCCAACACCATCATTGTTCGAAGCATTTCAAAATACAGCTCTTTGACGACGTATGAACACATACATGCTTTCCAGCATAACTTTTGCCAGGGTTCTTGAATTTCTGCGCGCGCGAACTTCCTCATCATCACCCTCATCAGCGCCGCCGGATCACGCCATCGTCATCGACAATCGCCGCCATTGCCGCCATCATCGCTCAAGCACCTTCATCGTCGACACATGGACACCATCGTCGTCATCGGCTTTAATCTTATCGGCTCCGTCAGTGGCCTTGCCGTCACCATCGTCATCATCGCAACCACCATTGCTGCTATCATCACCGTTGCCGCCGTTGTCGACGTCATCATGATACCGTTCCCGCCCGAGCCACCGACTCGCATCGAAGTGCCCACGCGCCAGCGCGGCCTTAGATACGCGCTGGGAAGCTGCCATCGGTAAGCGCCCTCGCGGCCGCATAGGTTGTGCTAAGCCAGCTGGCCGCTCTGCGCGAGAGTTTGCGCGCGCCAGCGCGGCCGCAGAGATGCGCCAGCCAGGCCCAAGCAGTCATCGCAATTGCTGCCGCATGGGTTTTGCGGAACAAGTTGCGGGTGGGAGGGTGGGGTGATTGCGCGAGCTGGGGTGTTCACAACCCATGAGTTGGCAACAAGTATCTGCACCGTTTATACTGCCACACGCAACTTCACCAGCTGGCCCACATCACATTTCCTCCTTTCAGAAGAACAAGCTCCACCACCTTCCCGAGCACGGACATACCCGTTCCCCGTGGGCGCTGCACATTACATAGGGTTCTGCTGCAGCCTTCATTTTCCGTACGGGTTCATAGCATTCCAGGCGAGCGGTTATCGTCCCCCCCATCATCCCTGGCAAGTAACAACATGCTCGCACACATGCTTATCTCGAAAGATCATTTCCCAATGGTCCCCTGCAGCGAATGACCCAAAGACCACACGCGCGTGCACATGACAAAACCATACCAAACACTCCAGTTCTGCAAGCATTCCAACATGAAAGCATCACCCCCTAGGTTTTCCAGCACAGATATTGTAGATCTTCTGCCTGCGCGCACTTGCTGAAATCATAAGAACACCACATGCGTTTAGCCATCTCGTCGAAGGCTTTTGCGCAACCATGTGGGCACCACATGCTTTTTAACAGACAGTCTGCCAGGTCTCTTGCATTTCGGCGCACGCGCCCTTCCTCACAATCACCTTCATCAGCGCCGCCGCATCACCGCCGTCATCGTCATCGCCAGTCGCCGTTATTGCTGCCATCATGAGTCAAGCACCCATCATCACTTACACATGGACATCATGATCGTCGTCGTCGTCACAGGCATCGGCGCCATTATTAGCCTTGCCGTCGTCATCGTCATCATCACCATTGCCATCGCTATTGTCTTCATCGTTGCATGGGTGATGATGGTGGTGATGCTGGCTATGGCGATGATACCGGTAACGTCGATGCTAAGGATGCCGTTGCTGACGCAATGGGGACCCATACGAAAGTGCGTGTGAAGAAGACTCTGAAACTGATGATGATGCTGATGATGGTGATGATCATGTTGTTGATTATGATAATGATGATCAGGACGAGGATGCTGATGTTGATGATGCTGCTGCTGATGATGATGATGAGGATGCTGATGAGGAGGATGATGATGCTGCTGCTGATGATGATGAATCTGGCTACCATGATGATGATGCCGATGCTGATAGAAGATGATGAAGATGAAGAGGGCGATTGTGGTGTCTGATGGCAATGCTGATGACGGTGCACAGTGCCAGCAGGAGTCAGATCGGAAGCTTGCAGCTCGAACGCCGATGCGACGGGAGGCAGCCTGCGCGTGGCCACGCCCGCCTGCGCGGCAGCGCAGCGGTGCCACCATTTACCGGAGCGCAGCAGCGCGGCCCCTGCGGAGGGCCGCGAGGTCCCCTTCCAGCGCGCCTCTCCCTGTCCAGGATGATTCTGCGGATGCTCATGCTGCTGATGCTGCGGCTGATGATGAGCACGATGATGACGATGACGACGATGGTGACGAGGAGGAGGAGGAGGGGGAAGGAGGAGCAATCAGCAGACTAAACCAAAGCAATGCATAGCACATCGAACCAAAGAGACACAAGACACAGCACAGCACAGCAACGTACATCAACCCAGTGTGCTACAACACAACGCGATGCAGTAAATGAGCTGGACCCACCCCCATGAATTGTGTTCTTTCTCGTGAAAAATATTGTTGCGCTGTATGGCAATTCGCAATTCAACGCAAAGTACTTCAAAGTAATCCGATGTAAATAAAGACGTCGCAATACAATGCATCGAAGTTTAAGCCGAAGCACATCCATCCAACACAATACGAAACAACGCTATAACATGCAATGTAAAGTTGTGCAGATTAACGCACAGCATTTCACTGCACATATGTGCAGTGCAAGGCAAATCAAAACCATGCAATACAACACAATGCGTGGCAATACGTAGCAGTGCAAAGCACAGCACGCCACACGAAGCTCTGCAAAGCAACGCGAAGCAATGTGAAGCATAGCAAAGCATCGCAACGCAACGCAAATCAGCGCATAGCCGCACACATGCGATGCAATGCAGTTCAAAACATACGAACCAATACAAAGCAGTACGAGTCAAAACAAAGCAATGGAGCCAATGCAAACCAATGCAAAGGAATGCAATGTGAGCCAATGCAAGGCAATGCAAAGCCAAGCAATTCAGAGCAGTGCAGAGCAATGCAGAGCAATGCAGAGCAATGCAAGCAATGCAAAGCAATGCAAAGCACTGAAACAAAATGGAAGAAGCATTACAAAGCAATGCAAGCCCGATGAATCTCGAGGAACCTCGAGGAACCTCGAGGAACCTCGAGGAACCACCGAGGATCCCCCGAGGAACCTGAGGAATCTCTGAGGAACTCCCGAGGACCCCACGAGGATCAGGCGGGGCGCCACGGGATCACCACCGGCCATCCTGTACAACATGAGCCAGAATCCCTCGGGCAAAGAGTAAGCGGGGGAATGCGAATCAGTTCAAAATAAAGCAAGTCACAGCATGCAGTTCAATGCGAAGCAGCGCGGGGAAATGCAAGGCATTGCGAAGCAAAGCCGTGCAATGCAACGGGAAGTGACGCAGCTCAAAGCAAAGCTTTGCGAAGTAACGCAAATCAATTTGAAGCAATGTAGAGCATTGCGAAGCAACGCGACGCAGACCAATGCAAATGTATGCAAAGTAACGAACCCAGCGCGACCTCAGTTAGGGTACGCGGCGTTACTGTCCCCAACGACACTGCAATACAAAATATGACAGCACTTCCGCAAATCATTCCGAATCAAAGAGATCAAATCAATGCAATATCATGCAATGCAACTCACGCAGCTCATCTCAAACCAATGCGAACTAATGCAAGACAATGACATACAATTAACGGGGAAGCAATGTCAGGCGAGTCGTATAATGTAATATAATGCAAAACATCGCATCGCAACATTTCACACACACATATGAACCTATATACATACATAGGTAGACTAGCTCATGGATGTGCATCTACAGAGGTGTGTATGTCTGTGTATATAGGTATATGTGTATCGCATATAGATACAGTTATGCCACACGCAGCAACATAATGCAATCCGTACCGAAAACAACGAATATGGATGGGAAACTATGCTAATCAGTGCTAATCAAAGCGTAGCTGTGCGCGGCACTTAGGCATTGCAGAGCAGAGCGAAGTGAGGAACACCGAGGAAGCCCCGAGGACCCTCCGATGAAATACAGAGGAATTGCCGATGAACCCCGAGGAACCCTGAGGAACCCCGATGACCTCCCGTGGACCCCTCGAAGACCGAGGAATTGGCGGGACCCGCGTCGCAAGGTCGTGCACAGTTCGACAAAGCCGAAGTTGGGAACAAAACCGAATCGCTTCGCGAAGTCTCAATCACAAGTCATATTCGCGATCGCTACACCCGCTCGCGCATCTTGCACGGCCTCTCTTCCCTCCGCCCCCCCGCCGACCAGCCGTTCAGGCTCAGGCTTTCCTGCCTTCCAGGTTTTGTTATCTGTCCTTTGTGAGACGGATAGCCGCTGGATTCCAGCAATGGCCAGGTCGTCGATCCTCGCGTCTGGCGCCTTCGCCGCGGCGGCCCTGTATGGCGGCCTGTCTTTCGTGGCCCCCCACCTGCGGCAGACCCCAGGGCAGGCGACTGGGCACCTGCAGGTCGGCATCGTAACCCCCCTTCCCCTTCTCCTTTTCATCGTAGGCGTTTGGTTCATAAAGTTGGCTGGTCCCAATGGTGCCATTCCGATTTTGGCGCAGAAGACCGCCAGATATCGCAATTGACCGCGCTGAGACCGCCCCGAGTCCGCCTTGAGACCGCCCGAGACTGCCCCGAAGACCGCCCCATGCAGACGGGAAATACAGGGTGCGCGGCCGAACTCGTACGTAACTCGTGCTCCTTGCTGCAGGTAGACGTGGAGACAACGCGTGCGACCTCCGCATCTGTGGACGCTTCCTCGGTGCACGCAGCTTTCGGCCTCACCATGGTGGGCGTCTCCGCGGCGCTGGCGCTGGCGTCCCGACGGGCCCTCGTCACTGTGCGCAAGGCCGCCACGGCGCCAGCCCAGAAGAAGTCAGTTTCTCTGCGTGCCTTCGAGAGCGAGTTGGGCGTGCAGGCACCCTTGGGCTTCTGGGACCCCGTCGGCTTCACGAAGGACGGCGATGCCGAGAAGTTCAGGAGGCGCCGCTCTACTGAGATCAAGCATGGCCGCATCAGCATGCTGGCCACGATGGGCTACATCACGCCCGAGGTCGCCGGCAAGTTCCCCGGGATGCTCAGTCCGTCTAAGGGTCCGTCTGGGTTCCAAAATTGTTCAGTTGCCCTCGGCAGGCACTGCCACCTTGCCAGCTTACCACTCTGGGTGTCGACTTGTCCGCGGGGCGCACAGGAAGCCGCAACGTGTGGCATCTTGTGCCCCGAGGCACGTGACACGCTATTCTGCTCATCCGTGTCGTGTTGGTGTCTCTCTCCTCGTCCTCGGCGTCGGCCTCGTGGGTCCTAGTGTTTCCTTCTCTCTGCGTTCCTCCTGCCCCACCTCCCCACTTTTCTCCTCCTCTTTCCTGCATCATCCTCTGTGTGGCGACGCTGGGAGCAACGCTTGGATGGCCGTCACATGTGGCACCTCGGCCGCCCTGAGGATGCCTGGGAGTGCTGCGAGGCCGCGTTGGGGCGGAGTAGGACGATGCAGAACATCATGATGACGACGATGAGGAGGAGGTGAAGGAGGATTATGAGGATGTGGAGGCAGAGGAAGGGCGTAGCAGATGAGACTTGTTATCCCGAAGCCCCACGAAAAGTGCAAGCCCCACGAAAAGTGCTGGGAGAAGCAACGGCTCTCGAACCTGCGCTGCCCTCTGTGCGGGGCGGCTCGAGCGCCCCCCCATGCGGCCGTGATGCGAGACGTATATATCTCGCCTCTATTCTGGGAGGGCCGCCTATGAGGACCACCTCGGCCGTCTCGTGGCTGTCTTGGGCTGCCGTGAGGCTGTCTTGGGCGGGGAGGGAGGACGGATAGAGCGAAGAAGGCCGCAGCATGTGGCATCTGCTGCCCCATGGCTTCCAGGACACCGTGAACGGTTATCTCTCGAGCCCCGCTAATCGCGGCGTGCGTGCGTGCGTGGGTGTATGTGTGCGTGCGTGCGTGTGTGTGTGTGTGTGTGTGTGTGTGTGTGTGTGTGTGTGTGTGTGTGTGTGTGTGTGTGTGTGTGTGTGTGTGTGTGTGTGTGTGTGTGTGTGTGTGTGTGTGTGTGTGTGTGTGTGTGTGTGTGCGTGTGTGTGTGTGTGTGTGTGTGTGCGTGCGTGTGTGTGTGTGTGTGTGTGTGTATGTGTGTGTGTGTGTGTGTTTGTGTGCGTGTGTGTGTGTGTGTGTCTGTCAGGCCCCCTTCCTCTGGGGGGCCCGTACGGGCCGCTCCCTGAGGGGCCGCACTCTCGGCCGCCGCCGTTTCCGTCGCACTGCCCGGCTCCGCCGGCTCTCGCGGCTCCTTCGGCCTGCCTTCTCTTGCGGCTCCGCCGCCTTCCGCGCGCTCTCCCCGTCGCTTCTTGACGCATTCCCTCGTCGGTCCACTCTTGCTTGCCCGGCCTCCCCGCCTTCGGTTGGCTTATGTCACCTTCCGCCCTCGCCGTAGGTTCGTCTACCCACCGCTCTCCCCGCCGTCCATGCCGAGATGGTTCTGACCGCCGCCAGCTGTGAGACCCTAAGCGGCCTCCGAGTGCTCGGCCAGGCGTCGGCGCGCGCGCTTCGCTGCCCGCGCTCGGCTTTCTGCGCCCCGTCGCCGCGCGTGGGGCCGCGACGCCGAAAAAGTGTGTGTGTGCTCTTGTGTGTGTGTGTGTGTGGGTGTGCGTGTGCGTGTGCGTGTGCGTGTGTGTGTGTGCGTGTGCGTGTGCGTGTGCGTGTGCGTGTGCGTGTGCGTGTGCGTGTGTGTGTGTGTGTGTGTGTGTGTGTGTGTGTGTGTGTGTGTGTGTGTGTGTGTGTGTGTGTTGGGCCGTTGTTGCAACGCCGAGGGGGTCGTAACATGCTACACGTCTCGGAGAGCATTATCAGGGTGTCTTGGAGTGTCTTGGAGGCCGAGAACACCTACCAGGCAGCAGTTGGCAGTGGCAGTCTGCCACTCCTCAACATGCCAGGGGGCACGGTGGCGGATGCACCACTAGGACCTTTTGTAACCCACTTCCCGCCCCCCTCCCAGGAGAAGGGGAGAATGAGGTGTGGGTGGAGGCGGGGGAGGGAGGGAGCCACTGGTGGCGCCTGCTTTCCCAGCCCCCTGAGAACAGGCATTGCCTTCGAGGACGTCCCGAACGGCCTGGCCGCCCTGTCCAAGGTGCCGCAGGAGGGTTGGTTGCAGATGATTGCCTACTGCTGGTTCTGCGAGCGGTCTGCGAGCGTGAACGGCTCCGCCACAGAGAAGGGAAAGTACGTGGCGTTCGGCGAGAAGACGCCTGGCGACGTGGGCTGGAAGCCGCCTCTGCTCTCTGGCTTCCAGGGCGAGGCGAAGACGAAGAAGCTGAACGCGGAGATCGCCAACGGAAGGCTGGCGATGATGGCGATCATCGGCATGTTTTATCAAGACGGCCTGACCGGCAGTGCCTGGGGCGACTGGGCCAGCTACACGGACTCGCCGCTGCGCGCCTTCGAGAGCGAGCTGGGCGTGCAGGCACCCTTGGGCTTCTGGGACCCCATCGGCTTCACAAAGGACGGCGATGCCGAGAAGTTCAGGAGGCGCCGCTCTACTGAGATCAAGCATGGCCGCATCAGCATGCTGGCCACGATGGGCTACATCACGCCCGAGGTCGCTGGCAAGTTCCCCGGGATGCTCAGTCCGTCTAAGGGTCTCTTCGGGTCCCAAAATTGTTCAGCTGCCTGCGGCAGGTACTGCCACCGTGCCGATGGGGCTTTGGGGCGCACAGGAGGCCGTAACGTGTCGCACTCCATGTCCCGAGGCCTGGGAGAGCCGCAACACGTGACACGCTCTTCCGCTCATCCGTGTCGTTTCGGCGTTTCTCTCTTCGGCTCCGGCGTCAGCCTCTTGAAGATCTGCTGTTCCTTTTTCCTCCGCGTTTTTCCTGCCCGAGCTTCCTCTGTTCTGCGTCCTTCCTCCTGCCCCATCCTCTGTGTGGCGACGATTGGAGCAACGCTTGGATGGCCGTCACATGTGGCACCTCGGCCGTCCTGAGTCCGTCTTGGACTGCTGCGAGGCCGCGCTGGAGCGGAGTAGGATGATGAGGGAGATGCTGCTGCACCTGCAGGTGATGAGGATGAGGATGATGATGAGGATGATGATGAAGATGATGATGATGATGATGATGATGATGATGATGATGATGATGATGATGATGATGATACTCATGATGCTGATGATGCTGATGGTGATGATGGTGATCATGACGGTGCTGCCGATGATCATGCTGATGATGATGCTGCTGATGATGACGAATCTGATGCTGCTGATGCTGACGACGACGATCATGATGACGCGTCTGATGATGATGGTGATGATGACGATGCTGCTGATTATGAGGATGACGATGATGACGGTAATGGTGGTGATTGTGATGTTGATGAGGATGAAGACGGTGGTGGTGATGATGATGATGATGGTGCTGCCGCTGATGAGGACGATGATGATGCTGGTGATGATTAAGATGATGATCACGATGATGATCATGATGATGTTGTTTCTGCTGGTGATGATGACGAATGTGATGCTGATGATGATGACGACGATACTGATGATTATGATGCTGATGGTGATGATCATGCTGCTGCTGATGATGATGATGGTGGCGATTGTGATGATGATGGAGGTGGTGATGATAAAAATGATTCTGCTGCTGATGATCATTCTGATTGTGATGCTGATGATGATTGTGATGGTGCTAGTGATGATGATGCGGTGTGGTGGTGACGGTGACGATGTCGATGGTGATGATGCTTGTGATGATGTTGATGATGACGACGACGACGACGATGATGATGACGCTGATAATGATGGTGGGCATGATCATGCTGCTGATGATGATGATGCTGATGCTGCTTCTGCTGATGATGATGATGCTGAGGATGAGGATGATGAGGATGATGATGCTGATACTGAAAATGATGACGATGACGATGACGATGATGATGATGATGATGATGATGATGATGATGATGATGAGGATGATGCTGTTGATGATGATGATGACGACGATGATGAGGGTGGTGATGATGATGACGATGATGACGCTTGTGGCGGTGGTAATGATGACGATCTAGCTTCTGATTGCGATGCTTATGCTGATGATGACCGTGATGGTGGTGGTGGTGGTGGTGGTGATGATGCCCGTGATGAGGGTCACGATGTCGATGGTGACAATGCTTGTGATGATGTTGATGATGGCGACGACGACGACGGCGATGACGACGATTATGATGATGACGATGATGATGACGATGACGATGACGATGATGATGATGATGCTTATGGTAATGATGATGATGATGCTGCTGATGATGATGATGATGGTGGTGGTGGTTGTGGTGATGGTGACGCTTGTGATGATGATGCTGCTGATGATGCTGATGATGTCTACGATGCTTATGTTGATGATAACGGTACTGATATTGATGATGGTGATGACGATGATGGCGGTGGTGATCATCACGACGAGGAGGCGGAGGAGGAGGAGGGGGAGGACGGAGGAAGGCCGTACCATGATGCACCTGTCGTGCCGCGGCCTTCAGAGCACCGTAACGGTTGCCTCTCGAGCTCCGCTACGGGTTGTGTGTGGCGGCGCATGGAGAAACGCCCAGACGGCCGTAGCATGTGGCACCTTTTGAAGTGCGGGCTGGGGGTGTCTTGGGGCCTCTTGGAGACCTTGGGATCTATTCGGCGCCTCTCGGGAGCTGCTGGGCCTCAAGAGGTAGCAATCGGCTATTCTGGCGGCATCGGTGGCCTTCCCCAGGCGCCTTCGAAGCCCCAGAGAGCCTTGCGGAGTGCTATAGAGGCGTCGGGCCGCCCAGGAAGCCTCGGGAGGGGAGGGGTGGCGGCACACACGACAGTGTATGAAGAGAGGGGGTGGGGGTACTTGAGAAGACTGACGGAAAACCTGCCAGACGGCACTTGGCATTCTACCACGCTTCAACGTGCCAGGGGGCGCGGTGGCAGATGTACTACTAGGACCTCCTGTAACCCGCTTCCCTCTCCCCCTCCCGGGGGAGGGGGGGAAGAGGCGGGGTGAAGGTGGGGGGGGAGGGAGGGAGCCACTGGTGGCGTCAGGCATCGCCTTCGAAGACGTCCCGAACGGCCTGGCC